CGAAACGTCAGGACGAAATTCCCATAGACCACGGCTTCAAAGCCCGGAAAACATTCCTAAATGTGATTTAACCGGCCGTGAAAGCCTTCATAGTCTGATAATTTAAGCTTTGTTGGCAAAGCTCCATACTGAGTCCAAGTCGGGCTCGTGCTCGATCCGGGTGAATTCCAGGACTCTTTCAACGGAAGTCATTTGGTTCTCCAACTCTGCAGATTGCCGCATTCCCCACTGGATCAGCCCGGTTAAGCTGATGGCCTGAGTTATGATTAACCCAACGCTACTGCCCTGGAAGCCTGATAGTTTGCTCTTTTCACTTTTGCGCTTATCCAGAAATGCGAGAATTACTTCCAGGGCTGATGACACACGTGTAAGTAACCACGCCAATAAACAGCGCAGTGATCCAGTCCAGCCATAAGCTGAACGCTCTGGAAGTGTAGAGGAACATAAACCAGGCACTGCTGTGGATATCCTGCAAGTGATCGAATTCTTCCGCCAGATTCTTCTCGGCGTTGTTGATTCTGATCGTCTGCAGTCCTTGGAGCGTGGCATTTAGGTGGGCAAACACTGGGCTTCTAGCTGAAGAAGATCCAGTCGAGGTTGGGACTTTGATGCTTGATTGAAACCAACCGATGCCCTCCAAGCGCTTTACGCTCCGGCTGGTCTTCAGGTAAAACTTTCTCAGGAAGTAGAAAAGCACCATCATGAGGGAGACGGGCAGCAGAAACCATGTGTTTATGGTGCATACCACGCAAATTGATCCAACTAGAGTCAGCATGAGCTAGAAAATTGTTCGAAAATCCCAGCTGGTCTTCAAATTTGCACACTTAAATCATCACCTGAACAGTGTCAATAAACGCATTAGGGAGCAGTTCATCCACTTGCCCCAGATCCTTAGAAAACCTGTTCAGGATCCGGCCGGAGGTGTTCTGATGGAAGAAGCGCATGGCCGCTTTAATGATGCTCTCGAACATTCTGTTGTGCAGCCTGCCAAACGAGCGCAAAAATTCCAGTTGTCCATTCGAACAGTGTTTGCCCACCTGTAGGAGGCTCTCATGCAAATCGAGAAGAAATAGAGGCTTCTAAAGATGACCACCACTATGGTGGCGATCATGATTCCCGTGTAGATGTTTATGCAGGCTTGGCGATTGAAGCGGTTCCAGAATCCCGCCGCCTCTGCGCTGCCGTAATTCGCCCGCAATTCCTCCAAGTTAACCCTGTTAAAGGCCCTTTAGGGCATGCGGAAACTGAAAAAACGCCTCACCATTGACTTAGGAAGTAGTCGCCGCCACTGCCCAAAAATTGAGCGCCTAGAAACAGCCCGCACATAAGAATCAGCATCCAGCAGTTTCCTCCCGCTTTAAAGTAGGACTTGTAGTTGCCTAAGGCTACTGCTCCGGAGGTTCGCATTTCAGGAGTCATCTTAGGGCCCAACTAGAAGTGCATGATTTTCTTTCGTATGCCCCAACTGGATGCATGCAGGCACCTTCAAGCCCTCAATGTCTATGGCACTATTAAAGGCGGTACTGGTAAGGGAAATGGCCTTCAGTACTTTGTCCATTTCCTTCTCCTGTTCGGGCTGAACAGAAGAAGCCGCTATGGTGGATTCTTCTAGGAGGAGGGCAAAACTGAGCCCGCTCCTCTTGATCTCCTCGTACGTGCCCTGCACCTCGATGGTGCCTTCGTTTAAAATCAGGATTTGGTCTGCCCGCTTCAGGTACTGCAGCTGGTGCGTTACTAGAATGACCAGCTTGTCTTTGAGGTGCTGCTGCAAGCATTCTTGGAACAGTTGTTGCCCGACCTATCAGGAGAGTAACGCCAAAGTAGCACCTAACATTTCCTGCCGGACCCACCTGGATATCTACAGCAGACAGCGGATCATCCAATAAGTAGATATCAGCCTCCTTATAGATGGCTCTGGCTAGATTAATTCTGGCCCTTTGCCCGCCACTTAAGGAGGTGCCCCTTTCGCCGACAATCGTGCGATCGCCGAAGGGCAGAAGCGAAAAATCGCGTTTAAGAGCGCACACTTTTATCACCTGCATGTACTTGTCTGGATTGAACTCCTTGCCAAATAGAATGTTTTGCCTCACTGAGCCTCAAACCCATAAAAAATTGCCTCTGGTCAAGGCTGGCGGTTTAATGATATGGTCTATACCTGCAAACAACCACGGCTCTTGGGAGGCATACGATACCACTCCAGACACATGCAATTTGCCGCTGAAAAGCTTCAGTTCGCCCAGGATCAGGTTCAACAAGCAGGTTTTTCCAGATCCAACTACACCCACAATCGCCACCAACTGCCCAGAGCTCATTTGCGTATTGATGTTATCCAGGCACAACGCCTTGCCTGAAATAATCGTTTCTGGCATAATTAACTGCCTTAATTAATGTTGCCCTACCATATTTGGCGATTCCTCTGGAAATCGTGACTTGGGCTGGCGCCTCTGGACTTCTAGTGGTTCTGCTGGAAGCGTCCCTCAAAGGAAAATCAGCCGAAAATACCGAACTGGCCCTAAGGTTTAAGTCTCCTTTTTCCCTCTTGAAAGGAACGATCTGGTTTGGGTCGTAATCGGGGTTCAAAACGCTGCGGTCCCCCACAACTGCCTCATCAGTTAGCAGGAAGCGCTCTATTCGACGGATGGAAACTTGAGCTTCGGCTATCTGAAATTTGCTCCTTTAGGTCGAGATATATACAGGGTGATGCTGAAGGACTGCTCTAATAAACGAGGATCCTTTGTGGAAGTGTTCTATCATGTGCACTAATACATTTTTCATTTTTTTACACGAAAGTCATGCTTTGGACCATGAAGTCCCAAGAGAACTTTTTTGTTTGGACCTGATCAGGCAATAAAAGCGAGAAATATTTTTTGCAGCATTTTGTCTTTTGTGTATTTTTAAATCACCCTGCATATTTTGGGGGTTGTTTAATACCGCATTGAGGCCCAAGGGGAAGTAGACGGTGCAGCTGATGCGAATGATCAAATAATAGCCCCCAATGACGAAAACCTGCTCGGCGGTGATCGCATTATCCAGCCAAACGTAGCTCAGAACGGTGAGGAAAATTCCGGCCCGAGCGGTTATCATTAGGAAGGACATGGTGATGCCTCTGATGTAGGAGGTGAGCACCAACATCTTCAGTTCTTTCCTGGAAAATTTGTTCAATATTCGTTTGCGCGCAGATTTGGAACTTAAATTATGAAAAAGTACTTCAAAGAGTCACTCACTTCCTCAACCTGCTGATCACGTCGATAAAGGCATTTTCCCAGGCATACATTTTGATCACTTGCATAGCCTGGATCACCTCGTTCATGTGTCGTACTCGCTTATCCGTTCTGGAAGCGGCTTGGACGCGCAAATAAGCCGTTGCAATGCACATCAAAACTACGAGGAGGACAAGAAAACGTTTAAACGTTCCCATTGTTTAAATCCAGGAAAAGTACTTTGCAGTGGCGCAACGACAGCAACCGCAGACATTCCATAGAAAGAGGAATCGCCCATTTCCAGATAAATAAAAAAGGCGATGAGGCAGGCCTGCAGGGGGCTGATCCAGAGATAGTGCAGGAAAAGAGGCGCTTGGTCGAACCGATTCACGTCGTTCGACATGAGGTTGACGGTGTTTCCCACTGTTTCGCCCCCTAAAGCCGTCAGCTTGATCCTGAGGGCCTAGAAAAGCAGCCCGTAGATTTAGTAGGCGCAATTAGGCTAAGGCTACTTTTCTGTAGACCAATGAGCAGCAAGCTACTCGGATCTGCATGCCCACATGCAAGCCGGCCATTATATAAGGGTGGAAGATTCCCACAGTAATTAGGCTGCACATCATGATGCAAGTGGCGAAGAAAAAAGCCTCTTCTTTGGAAATGCGGCTCTGATTCTTCGAGAAGTAGAACACCGCTCTTAGTAGGTACGTAGGGGAGAACTGCCTAAGAAACCATGTAAATGTGGCAGGAAAATGGGGCAAAACACACTCACTTTTCCGAGCTTTTTAAATTCTTGGGGTTAAAATAGCGGATGAACAGTCCTATGAATATCGGCTGCGGAAGTCTGGAAACTAGCTAGTAAAAAATGGAGAAAATCAGGCAGCATAAGCTGTCGGCTACCTGACGCAAACCTCCATTACAAACAGCAAAAACCCATAGAAAATCAGATCCCATTTGAAGGTTTTAATAATGACCCTCGTCAAGCTGGGGTTTTTCGTTTTCTTGGCCGAATTCTGCACCTCTTTGGTCCAATTTCGAGCCAACTTCTCGCCCAGAATGGACGACTTGTGCTCCTCCAACGGCTCAGTGAGATCAAACTCGTCCAAATCGCGCTTTCTCCCAATCATGAACGTCTTCAGCGCATACCTAAGAGTTTGCGACCTTTTTCGAATTACCTCAGCCTCACACTCTGTTAATCTTCGCATTGCAACTTTACCAAAACGTGATGGTCGATAGAAAATTGGCGTTTTTCTTCGGGTTTTTCGGCCGATCGAATTCCTCTGATCTTGACCGCATAGCTAATGACACTCGGACACTATTTTCCCGTGCAACACGAGCGTGTTCACCTGGTGGATTGTTGAGTGTTTCTATGAAAATTAGGCGCGCGAATGTCAGCAACGTCCGAAATCAATGAACCCGGACTCTGCCTCGAAATCAGAAAAATTCTTTTGTGGATGTTGCGCCAAGCAGGAGGAGTTCAACAGCGACGACGTGATCTTTGATTATTTCGGCAAGGAGTTTTCCGAGTATGAGTATGTGATTGAAAATTTGGCCATCCGACCCGCTCCGAAGAAGCTTTTGGACTTGGTTCCGGTGCATTCTACCAACATTTCCAGCAAAATCAGCTCGCAAGTAAGTTCCCAAGATGTTTCTGAACCCAAAATATCTACTTGTTAAATGAAGAATACACTTAGAAGC